TCTTCGATGCGTCCCTCAAGTATGAAGTGCTGCTTAAGTACGTCATGATGTGGCTTGCCAGTGCGTGCGTCAAATACATCGGCCGCTGTTAGCTTGCGGCTCGGCGGAAAGGGGACGCTGTCAATGACGCGCTCCTTAGTCGATAGACTTGTCTTTTTGGTGGGGCTTTGTTGGGAGGATTCCGTATTCGAGTTTGCGCCGCCGGCACCATTGCCCGCTGCTCCATTATTGCCGCCCACTTTTTCATGTGTGTTATTGTTGGTGGCGGTGACAGCGCCACCAGCCGTTGGCTGTTGTTTACCATTTTGCTGCGCCACCGGCTGATTGCCCGTATGCTGTGTAACCGAAGACATGCTGTTTGCTTGCTTTCTCGATTGGCTTTGGTTTTGCGCTGTAGATTTGCGAGCGATTTGCTAGAGACTGTCTGCGGTGCGGCTACTTTTGGCCGTCGCTAGCAGTGGTAATGCAACAGTTGCCTGCAAGAATACAAGAATAGAATAAAATTTTATTTGTCATATTTCAATATAGTAAAAGTACATGTTGAAATAAATAAATTATTCTTTCATGTAAAATTTGGCATCAAACAATGCAGACAATTAATTAAATGTATCAACCATTACAGCATTACCAAATATTTCTTTGGTGCTTGAATAACAAATCTCTGTTCATCGTACGCCCGTAATTCGCGTTCTTGTAAAGTTATGCCAGCTGAGGATGCATGTATGTATGTAAGTATGTACATTAGAGTGGTTCAAAAAAAAATAAAGTCGGAGTTTTAATTCCGGCACACACTTGGATTGATCTATATCGAAAAAAATATACCCCAATTTTTTTATTTTGAAATCAAAAAATATTTAGGGAGTGCTAAAGCGCTCAAAGTTTTCCATGTATTTTATATGGAGAAAAAACAATTTTTCGTAGAAATGGTATAAAACTCTTGAAAATCAATATTTTTCGACCAGAAAACTGTGGTTCTCTTCCAGTATTAATATCCAATTGTTTATTTAACCATTTTTTATGATTAAAGATTTTTTTATTGTTCCCCCCCATTGCATTATCTAAGGACCTATAAAGTATAGTTACCATGAAAAAATTGTTAAAGAAACAATTGAATATTATTACTGGGAATCCTCTGAAGATAAGTAAAGTTTTCCGATCGAAAAATATTGATTTTCAAGAATTCTACACTATTTCTACGAGAAGATGTTTTTTCTCCATATAAAATACATGGAAAACTTTGAGCGCTTTGAGCACTACCTAAATTATTTTTTATTTCAAAATAAAAAAATATGGGTATATTTTTTTCGGTATATAACAATCCTAGGGGGTGGCGGCATGAAAAATCCGACCTTATTTTTTTTACATACATTTTTGTACCACTTTAATGTACATACATATGTTCATACACGCCATTTGAAAAATAAATACTGTTTTAATATGCAATCATAAACATACATAGGCCATAAGTATGTACATAAATATACGAATATACTAAATACATGCGGCTCATATGCCCATTGTCTCGCTAAAACTATAAACGGTTTGACCTTTTTTAATACATAGTTATTATTTTTTTTGTTCGCTGTAATACCAAGATGGTTAAAAAAAAAAAAGTTATGTGTGTGAATTCCACTCGCGTCTGAAGCGAAAAAATATTCCAAATATTAGTCCGTGTGCCAAATTTCATCCAAATCCGTCCAGCTGTTTCTGAGTGAAGGGAAGTCTCGCATGGCTCGGTATCTCTAATTTCAAATCCACTGTACCGATAACAGACCAAGCTTTTTAATATAACATTTCATTTTTTTTAAATTCGAAGGAACGGTACAGACCTTCACAAAAAATTTCTTCGCAACCCTAATGGAAAGTATTTGCAAACTAAAGCTTTCATAAGACTCCTTCGTTTGACACTCATATTTAAATATATCATATAACGGCCGCGGGTGCGCTTTTGTGCAAAACATATCAATTAACATTAGGGGTATTCACGATTCGGTGCATACTGTCTAACACGGTACATAGATAACATAAATAGCATGATTGTTGTTGTTTCATGTGTTCAAACAACAACAAAATTAGCCAATCACGCTATTTATGCTATCTACTATGCACCATGCTAAACAGTATGCGCCGGATCGTGAATACCCCTATTGTTTAGCAACACTGTTTGCACTTTTCTTTCATATTCCTTACATATTTTTTTAATCGTAGCGCACCCGAATCGGCCGTTTTTGGAAAACATAAATTGAAAATTAAGATTCCGCGTTCCCTAAAATCCCCAGAAAGACCTTTTGATGCTATAAATATTTGCATTCAAATCAATTTTAATTGGTTTAAAAGCTTTTCCGTGACTACCAACTTCAACTGAAAAAAACGCTTAAAATCGCCAACCTGGGAAAACTGAGAAGTTGTTTTGCTATATACATACAATCCAGACTTTTAGAAAAACTTTACCCAGAAAAGAAAACCGATTATAAAAGTTATGTTACCAGCGCACAATAGACCTGTTTGGCGTTTTAAATGTTACAAGTAACACTAATAAACTTTTCTACATATCTACATATAAATATGTTATGCACATACATATATGTAAATAATTAAAATGGAAAAAATGTTAAGTATTTATTTGTTTGATAAATACGCATGCAATTAGGCGAGTTCGCGCGTAGCGCATAGTGCACACATTCATACGAGTGCATTGTTGTAATTCTTTAATTAATTGGTTGCCAATTCATTGTGAAAGTGGCATACTACTATATACATATATACATACATATTTTCAATGGCCACTGGCATGGTGTCACAAGCGATTGTATTTTAATCCCATAAATCCTCTTTAAAATTCGTAGTATCCGCTATTAAATGCGAAGATACGAAGAGGTGGTGAGGAAAGCGAATGAAACGAGTCTTGCATATTCATTTGCTCAAGCTCAAGTAAATTATTTCAATTAATTTGCAACGTAATGTATGAACAATTTGCTGCCGCAGATTTAACACAAAAACACATGCATATGTACATACATACACGCCACATATGCACAATAGGGTGGTCCTTAAATGTGGGAAGCAAAATAAATTTTGGTCCCGATTGAAGTCTGTTAACGCGTTGTCGCATAGGGGTCAAAGCTCAGATTGCCCTATGAAGACGTCTTAACTCACTGCTATCGGGACCAAAAATTATATGTGATATCTGTGACCATGGTATTACTGATTGAGGGGGTGAACCTCAAAAATCGTTCATTTGATTTTTTAATGACCACCCTAATGTGCATATGCGAAGAAATTTACAATTGCCTATAATAAGTACAATGCATGTATATATTTACATATGTTTTCATAGCATATGCATACATACATCCATATACAGGTGCCCATATTACTTAAACGACATGTGGTTCGCTGTTGTTTTTGACGCATACATATATTTACATACAAGTATAGCGAGAAACTTTTAGGTATTGTTTTTTTCTTGCAAAACAAACGTGTGTGTTTATTCTGTTTTCATTATTTTTACTGCATAATTTAAAAAAATTTGAATTTATATTTTTGTCTGCTACTTTCTGGTTGCCACTATTGTTGGATGTACATTAGACCGTACCACCTCACAAGCAAACAAAAATAGTTCACCGTACATCCCGCATTTTTGCAAGGCAATTTCGAAACAACAAAATTTAATTTTTTTGGCCGAACCTTTTGCCATTATTCGGTGACATTCGGCGATAAAAAATGGTTTTAAATAGTTCCACTGGAATAATCAAATTACTCTTTAACTAAAGTTTAATACTTTTTGGCGAGTTTTAGTTTACTGTAATGTAAATGCCGCAGATATGGAGAAGAATTGCTAACGGCGACCCCTACGTTCGGCAAAAAAAGCGAAATTTCTTCGCAAGGAAATACTACCTTAGCAAAAGTTTAATGATTTTTCGTGAACTTTAATTTACAGACATTAGAGAGGTAGGAGCTGAGATCTGATGGGATACTTGTGGTCAATGAACTTAAAAAAAAAATAAAATAAGAATATCCATATATCAAATTTTAAAATATGACTGCAAATGCTGAAGATATGACGAAAAATTTAAAAAGCAGCCCCTGGGTTCGGCAAAAATAAAGTGATATTTTGTTTGTGGCAATGTACATATCGAGGGTTTATTTTCAATATGACCTATCTGCCGTTTACACAAAAACTACTGAGGCTTAACTTTCATGCACTGGTTACAATTTTAATTTTGAAATTCAATAGATAATTCTAGCGACAAACGATATACAAGGCCAGCATTAACATCATCCATGACAGTTAAGTCTAAGGTGGATTTTTGTATGGAAATCTCATTTTTGTGAAAACTGTAGATAGATTGATACCGGGTATCCGGTAGATATCCGGAATCGGGCTTTTCCGGAGTTTTACCCTACAAATGTTAGTTTGAAAACCTAACGGGTAGTTTAAAATACTTCTCCGTTTCTAATTCATAAATCGCTGATTTTCTCTTTTACGGTCACTGCCTTGCCTACTACTTATCCACATCACTGCAAGAACTTGAACCATTGGCAGAGTCGTTGCCTTTCCCAAGCTCGCTCTTCAATAGAAGTTTTTCCTAGACTTCGGATTTTTCATTTATGATTTAGAATAAATTCACCGCAAAGCCAGTGCAAAGTACTGTGAAATTAATTAAGGACAGCAGTCTACCGGATATCCGAGTTTGGCTCACATTTTTCACATGGTATCGAGAATATGATTATCCCGGGCAAATTTTCTATCCGGCACATCCTTATTTGTATTGCATATGTACATATACTCTTCCCGAAAGGCTGTAACAAGAAAAGATGCAGCAGAGAATTAGCAATCTACAATACACAAAATATAAACGTAGGAGTACATACATACATACATACATACATACATTCACACACTGCTGTGTACATTTCGTATGTCTGAGGCGGAGACATAAAAGGTGCAAGATAAATATTTGTTCCTAATTTGTTTTTACTTGGCGCAAAATGCGGTGTAAAAACAAAACAAGCGCACATACGCGCATACTAAGTGTAAAAATGTGTGAAAATAAATGCAACGGCACGGCACACAAATCTCAATAGTGCGGGTGCGTTTGTACGCTTTGACAAAAACAATGAACTCATACACTCGTACTTCCTACAGACACACATATGTACTATGTATACGAGGGCGGTCCAAAAACATATGCGAGACAAGGACCGTGATTATACTGTCTTTAATATGTAGATGGCTACGAAGGAGCTTCGTTTTGGCGAAAATGAAAAAAAAAAATCCTTTTACGAGGGTTGCTATTTACATATACAAGTTTTCCGATTGAAAAAAATTGATTTCCAAGAAAATTCTATACTAAGAAAAATTGTTTTTGTACTATATAATAAAATGCATGGAAAACTTGGAGATTTGGGCGAACTCGAAATATTTTTTTATTTCAAAAAAAGAAAACATGGCTATACTATTTTTCGGGATAGA